GGGCTGTTTTTGCCCCAAACAAGTCTGGGTGTCAAGCTTACCCCTAATGCAGGTGGTCAGGCACTATAGCTGGCTTCTGTGTTCTTCACTTATAGCAGCTCTGTTTCCCATAAGGCAAGCAGGTCTACTGGTACTTGGTTCCCCCCAGGACTTATATACAATGCTATAGTGCCTGGCTACCAAACTGGGACAGGTGCAAACTGAGCACAGCAAATAGGTACTTGCGGTTGGCAGACAGGCATAGGGGTTGAATGACAGTCCAGGTACAAGGCAGGCAAGGTTCATAATAGCCAGGTTTCAAGTCTGTAGTCAAAAGGCAGGCAGAGTTCAGAGAATAGTCAATATCCGATCCGAGGTCATACAAAGGGAAACCAAGATGCAGGGCAGACAAACAGGTAGCTAGGGCATGTGTTACCAATACTATCACAAGTATGAGACTGCAGGCTTGGCTGGCTTAAATCAGGTTTGGTGTCCAACCAGAGAGTGGCCACATTGACCACCTTGCAGGTGGACACAGACAGACAGACAGACAGGGAGAATGTATCACAACCAATACCAGGATAGGGGAAACAACAGATATGATGAAGCAGGAGTGCTACAGTTGTGTTCAAAATAATAGCAGTGTGTTGAAAAAAGTGAATAAAGCTCAAACTCCTTCTAATAGCTTTTATTTCCATACACACAAATGCATTGGGAACACTACACATTCTATTCCAAATCAAAACATGAAGAAAAATACATCAAATTTGTGTTGTTCCTCTAAAAAAAATTGAAGAAAAGTGAATATTAGACTGTTCAAAAAAATAGCAGTGTTTGTATTCTTCTTTACAAACTCAAACATTCACTATATAAACTGAAAAATGTTTGAAGATTTTGCTTTCCTTTGAATGACTTCATGAATATTTGGTTGTAGTCGCACTGTTTCTGAGAACTGCTGTACATCTGTGTTGCAGGGAGTCACCCAACTTCTGGCCCCTGTGATCAGGTATTCCAGCCCAGGATGATTGGACTACATTCCACAGTTCTTCTCTATTTCTTGGTTTTGCTGCCTCAGAAACTGCATTTTTGATGTCACCCCACAAGTTTTCTATTGGATTAAGATCCGGGGATTGGGCTGGCCACTCCATAACGTCAATCTTGTTGGTCTGGAACCAAGATGTTGCACGTTTACTGGTGTGTTTGGGGTCGTTGTCTTGTTGGAACACTCATTTCAAGGGCATTTCCTCTTCAGCATAAGGCAGCATGACCTCTTCAAGTATTCTGATGTATTCAAACTGATCCATGATCCCTGGTATGCGATAAATAGGTCCAACACCGTAGTATGAGAAACATCCCCATATCATGATGCTTGCACCACCATGCTTCACTGTCTTCACAGTGTACTGTAGCTTGAACGACCCATTTTCCTCAGAAATTCAGAGAGAAATGCACTGTAACCAGTGTGTACAACATTTGCTGCCTTCCTTCCTTTAAATAAGGGCAATAATTGCCACCTGTTTTTCAAAGAATGAATGACCTCACTAATAGAACTCCACACGGCTATTATTTTGAACATGCCCCTTTCAATGAGTGATTCAATAACACAGAATCATCAGCATGCATGTCATGACTGTTGGGTCTGTTGGATTTCTATTACTCTACTACACCTGCTAGTAAATTATTTGCCATGTAGAAATATCATTTCTACCAAAAACAGTGATTGATCCGGTTAGTGATGTCTGACTGCTATTATTTTGAACATAACTGTACAAGCTCCTGACACTGGGAAAGTTTAAAGACACTTCTGTAACCCTAAGTAACCGTAAGCAAGACCCATTTACTCCATGTTTTGCCCTTTAAAATATCTTAATTTTGTGTTCCCTATTAAACTTAATGCACATCAATTACTGTATGTTGGTCTAATTTATGCCACAATTTTGGCAAAGCAAAATCAATCAATTTTGCTGATCTCTATTGAGCAACTACAATTACAACAAACATTTTCATTTATTGAATTTTGAGGCATTTTGACTGTTAAAGTAAACTCACAAAGACTATAGCATGGCTTATTGATGCTTCACCCCTTAGTGAGCAGATATAAATGAAAGCCGAGATGCCCAGACCAGGGGCGGACTGACCATTTGGGAACTCGGGCAGTGCCCGAGGGCCCAGGGTCAGTAGGGGGCCTCATGAGATGCCCCCGGTACCATTCATAGGCTTTTTTGGGTGTGGTTTGAGTGTGGGTGAGGACACAGGGGCCCCATGATAACCTATTGCCTGGGGGCCCCATGAGTTGTCAGTCCGCCCCTGGCCCAGACCAAATGTAGCAGTGTCAGTGTTGATTCATTTCACAATTCTATGAGTTATTTGATTATCTAAATATTTCTTTAATAATGATTTAATAAACAAGTTTTTTTTATTTGGAACTCTGTAACACATTTTAATTATTACAAGCTGACAAGTTGAAAATGTGTGTTGAAAATGCATTTATTTTATAATATTTCACATTGCATAGTTTTAAATGTAATGCCTTTTACACGAGTGAACAATTTTTTTTTATGAACCATAAACTGTGACTAGGGCTTTTTTTCAGTGGGAATGCGGGGAACACAGTTCCAGCACCTCCATCACTAAATGTATGTAACGGCAATGGGTACTGGAGTGTGCTGCAGGGTCTATTGGTGCTGGCTGCAGGGGGGGTCTATTGTTGCTAGAGGGGATCTAGTTCTGTGGGGGTGTCTATTGCTGCTGGGGTGGTCTATTGTTGCTGCTGGGGGTCTGTTGTTACTGGGGGTGGGTCTTATTTTGCTGGGGGGTCAGTTGTTGATGGAAGGGATCTACTTTTGAGGGAAGGGTCTATTACTGCTTGCTGCTGGAAGGTCCATTGATTCTGGCTGCAGGGAGATCTGTTGTTGCGGGGGGGAGGGTATTTTGTTGCGGGTGGTCCATTGTTGCTGGGGGGACCTATTGTTGATGATGGAGATCTATTTTATTGTTTTTCTTGTTATCATGAACAAATTCAATACAATTTACTTAGCACCACAAAATGATACTTGGTTATGTATTCTTTAAAAGGGACAGTACTGGGAAGTGGGTAGGGGATGGAACCAAGAAATGGTGTCCAGAGGTTGGTAAAGGTGGAGACAAGGAATGATTCAGAGTGAGTTTCTTTGTACCTATTCCCTGAGAAAAAAAGCCTTTACTGTGACAGGTAACATGATAGCTTCAGTTGTTACTATGCTTTTCTCTTTATGAGGCACAGTGACGACTGTACCCAGCAGATTTGTATATAAAGAAACAAAATGTAATCAACATAATTGGTGGTTATGGTGATCACATGATTGGGAACTACATTGATTGGTTTCTGATTCTTAGTGTGAACTAGTGGCTGTCAGTGATGAAGACAGGGAGATAGAAATATACACTCACTGGCCACTTTATTAGGTCCATCTTGCTAGAATCGGGTTGAACCCCCTTTTACCTTCAGAACTGCCTCAATTCTTCATGGCATAGATTCCGCAACGGTGCTGGAAACATTCCTCAGAGATTTTGGTGCATGTTGACATCACGCAGCTGCTGCAGATTTGTCGGCTGCACATCCATAACGCTCATCTCCCATTCCACCACATTCCAAAGGTGCTCTATTGGATTGAGATTTGGTGAATGTGGAGGCCATTGGAGTACAGTGAACTCATTGTCATGTTCAAGAAACCAGTGTGAGATGATTTGGGCTTTGTGCCATGGTGCATTATCCTGCTGGAAGGAGCAGTCAGAAGATGGGGACAATGGAGTCATAAAGGGATGGACATGGTCAACAACAATACTCAGGTGGGCCATGGCATTTAAACTATGCTCAGTTTGTACTAAAGGGCCCAAAGTGTGCCATGAAAATCTTTCACCACCACCACTCTGAACCGTTGATACAAGGCAGGATGGATCCATGCTTTCATGTTGTTTGCTCCAAATTTTGACCCTACCATCTGAATGTTGGAGCTGAAATTGAGACTCATCAGACCAGGCAACGTTTTTCCAATCTTCTATTGTACAATTTTGGTGAGCCTGCGTGAATTGTAGCCTCCGTTTCCTCTTCTTAGCTGACAGGAGGGCACCCGCTGTGGTCTTCTGCTGATGTAGCCCATCTGCTTCAAGGTTCTATGTGTTGTACATTCAGAGCTGGTATTCTGCATATCTTGGTTGTAATGAGTGATTATTTGAATTACTGTTGCCTTTCTATCATCTCGAACCAGTCTGTCCATTCTCCTCTGACATCAACAAGGCATTTCCTCCACACAGCTGCCGCTCACTGGATATTTTCTCTTTTTCAGACCATTCTCTGTAATCTCTAGAGATGGTTGAGTGTGAAAATCCCAGTAGATCATTGGTTTTGAAATACTCAGTTCAGCCTGTCTGGCACCAACAACCATGCCACGTTCAAAGTCAGTTAAATCCCCTTTGTTCCCCATTCTGATGCTCGGTTTGAACTTCAGCAAGTCATCTTTACCACATCTATATGTCTAAATGCATTGAGTTGCTGCCATGTGATTGGCTGATTAGCAATTTGTGTTACCAAACAATTGAAAAGATGTACCTAATAAAGAGGCCGGTGAGGAGAGATAGAGATAGAGATAGAGATAGAGATAGAGATAGAGATAGAGATAGAGATAGAGATAGATAGATAGATAGATAGATAGATAGAGATAGATAGATATAGATAGATAGATAGATAGATAGATAGAGAGAGAGAGATAGATATATAGATAGATAGATAGATAGATAGATAGATAGATAGATAGATAGATAGATAGATAGATAGATAGATAGATAGGATTCAGTTTATGTCATGCTGATGGTGTTTGTTTTGCAGAATCATTGAAGTTATGTGGAAAAACAAATTCAATCCCTTAACTATTTTATTTGTCATATTATCATTCTTCAGTCTTGACCTCTTCAAAATGTCAGATAGTCCCTGTTTTGGGTCTGATTAAATAAAAAGTGTCAAATAGGTTATCCAGTCAGGCTTGTCATCTTAGCAAAACTGTACACCTTCCAAAATGTCCAATAGCCTTTTGAACATCTTTATTTCTTAGGCTGTAGATTAAAGGGTTTAACATTGGTGTAACAATTGAATAGAACACAGACACTATCTTGTCTGTCACTTTGGTATCTGAATATCTCGGTCTCATGTACATGAATATGGCCGTTCCAAAAAAGATGGCCACCACAATAAGATGGGCTATGCACGTAGAGAAGGCTTTGTATCGCCCAGAAGAAAGTTTCACAATGATTAAGAAAATATGTATATATGAAAAGAGGATGAAGCACAAGGGAATTAGAAGCAATATGGACCCACCAACCAAAGTTACAATGTTGTCCACTGAAATATCTCCACAAGACAGCTGAAGAAGGGATGGAGCTTCACAAAAGAAGTGGTTAATGGTTATATGCCCACAAAATCTTAAATGGCATATAAAATATATATCAAAGGAGGCTATGCTACCACCAGCCATCCAAGAAAAGCCAATCATCCTGGTACAGGAGACCGTATTCATAATAACATTGTAATGCAGGGGATTGCAGATAGCCACAAATCGGTCATAGGCCATGAAAGCCAATAGTATGCACTCTGTCTCAGCCATAAAAAGAAGAAAGAAGTAAACTTGAAGAATGCATCCAGTATACGAAATAGTTCTTGCTGATAAAACAATGTTTAGTAGCATCTTGGGTACAATGATTGATGTATAACAGATGTCCAAGAAGGACAAGTTAGTAAGAAACAAATACATAGGGTTGTGTAAATGGCTGTCTGTTCTTACGGCCGCTATAAGGAGAATGTTCCCAGCCAGCGTGGTCATGTACACAAGCGAGAATAACTGGAACAGCCAAGGTTGCATGTTGGGATTGTCTGTAAGTCCGAGAAGAATGAATTCTATGACTGTACTTTGGTTCTCAGCTGCCATTGTCACACTCTTCTAATAATATTTGCTTGGCCCACAGCTGAACGCTTAATGGAACTGGGGACAAAAGAAGAAAGATCTCTATGAGAGAAAACTTCAATCTGAAAATAAATTACTAGTAAATTTATAGGTTATGTCCATTTTGTGGACACAAAGTACATGGCCTGGAACTCAGCAAAGCTAAGGGGAGCGCCAGCAAGACTAGGGCTTGAAGATGAGGCTGAGATGTATAGTGGGGTTGGGTGTACATTTATGAATAATGATGGTGACTTACCTGATTGGAAGTTTAAGTAAAAGAGGGAGGGTCTCCAGATAATGAGAAGAGGCTGGACTTGTTGGGAGTCAGTCGGAGCTTGTGGCAGCACTGGTGAGGTTTCTCCCACCCTACCTCCCTGGACCTGTTTGGTTGGTGTTTTAGTTTGTGTTGTTCCCAGATGTGTCGTTTGTGTTTGTCTTGCCTTTGTTTGGGGGAGGAGGTGGGAAGTTCTTTCTGCTTTTTTATTTTCTTTATTTATTACATTTTTCTGTCTTGGAGTCATTGTTCTAGTGTTTATGTCATGGCAGCTGGCAGGGATCGTTGGGTCTTTGAAGACAGTGCTGGAGTTACATTTTAGAGGATTATGAGTTGGGCCCATTGTAGGTATGGGTGTCCCTTCCCAGTTATAAGTTTATGTTGGTAATTTTGTAGTTAATGGGCTGTTTCTGAGACTATGTAGCTGTAGCATTGTCCCCAAGGCTGTGTAGTAGTGGCTGGGAGCCTTCTCACTGGGTGGTATATCGGCCAGGTTATTTGCTGCGATTATCAGTGCCTTCAAAGACCTTGAACCCGGTTGGGATCATTACTGTTCAGTTAATACATTGATTTTGCTTGATGCATTGATTATATTATAATTTGTCATGTTAAATAAATGGGCTGCTATGGGCATTTGACACATATAAAAAGGAGAGTTGTGTAGTTTATTTCAGGTGGGGGAAGGTTGGGGGTGGTTTTCTTTATTTAGGTGGATAGTTAAGTGATTAGCCTCGATATTCTGCATGTCCCTCATTCAAGCACAAACATTTTAGTAGTTACTATTTTTACATACTCTGTGTTACTGACTTTTTTCTTTGAAACTTCTGATTTAGGTTGAGCAACGTTATAGCCAGGCACTATTTAATCTCTCAGAACCTTATAATTCCAGAAACCATATCAGGATTTAATAATCTTGGGAATACTGCAGATCAGTTTTCCCTCTTTAACTCCCCTGGCGGTATTCCCGAGTGTAGCTCGGGGTTACGTTTCAGTTCCAAAAGCGGTAACCCTGAGCTACACTCAGGAATACCATGCAGCATTGCTCCGGGATCTCTGTATCACTTACCTTATCCTACGCTCCCGTGATGTCCCTCTCCAGCGTCCCCCGGCCATGTCCTCCGGCCGATGCCGGCACCCATCTTCCAGGTTCCATTCCCTGTGAATGTTTGTACGTATGGGACATATGGGGGACGGAACCGGCGGGAAATTCAAAAATTTCAAAATGTGCCATTCACTCTATACACTAAAATCTGATAGTATAACATTCCTGTATTAAACCATTTCACATACATTTTGTCCCGAGTGCTTTGTCCTGTGCCCTGCCTGCATTTTTACTGTTCTTTCTGCCTGGAAACTGAGAAACGTCCATGGCATCAAAAAAAAAGCGTCCCTTTAGGTCAAAAGCGGTTTTAGACCGGCTAGAGAACAGCAATAGTAAATCAGAACCACTTGCAGAATTGAGTGATAATGATTCGTGGGGGAAATTCATCATCAGACACTGAAAACGATTTTGCGACGTTGCTCAGTGATGTGCGAACTTGGCGCTATATTTCAAGTTTCAGTGTTTTTGGTTTGATTATATTATTGAATTAAATTTATTATTGTATTATTTTTTTTATGATTATCTATTATATTATAATTTATGATTTCGTGTTTCAAGTTTTATCATACACAGGATGTTTACTAGACTCTTGTTCGGACAGATTTCAGTGAGTTATTCCTAAGAATTACAGGCCTACAATAAAAAAACAAAATATTTTCATGCAAAAAAATGTACCGCTTTGAGCACAGAAATACTGACATAATCAGACTGCTAGGGAGGTTAACAAACCACCTTAGAACCCCTCACCCTGCATGGGTGAGAATCCCTGAGTACTCAAAACTGCATTCTAAGTTGTCCCCCTTAACCACCTCCCTTCCGGCTGTTGTATATAAATGGCCGGACGGTGGCAGTGCAGGGTCGGGTGGCCATTTATAAACAGCTTGCCCGCACCCTGCTTGTGCACGCTCCCTGGGAGTGCGCAGCACCGCAATCCAGTGCCCACTGTGTCCGGAGGACACAGTGGAACACCGATCGTCGAACGGGACCTCTGTACGAGGTCCCGATCATGTGATCACTGATTGGCCAATCAGTGATCACATGCAGAGTAGTAAGCAAGATGCCACTTCTGACATCATTGCTTACTACGTGTGAAATCTGTGAATGATCACAGAGGTCACATAGTACAAGGCTATTCACAACAACCTTGTACCATGTGACCAATCACAGCTCACTCAGTATTTCTCAATGGCTGCAAGAATGCAGCCAGAGAGAAGGAAATATGTTTGCTTATTACATCCTTCATGGGTGTAAAAGCAATCAGTGTAAAAAAAAAAAATCTTCATCACCCCCCACAAGTAGTACAGTGTCACCATGGTGACACTGTACTGCTAGGGTGACAGTATGTAAAAAAAATAAATAAATAAATAAAAAAAAATATAAAAAAAAGTAAAAAAAAATGTAAACAAAATGCTTAAAAATTATAATTTTTGGTTATAAACTAATCTGGGGTTTTTTGTTTACTAAAAAAATAACGGAATACATTTTGGCCAAGATTTATGATGACATATTATTTATTTGCAAAATGTTATAAGAAAAACACTTTTTTCAAAATGTGTGGACATTTTAATTTACATAGCAAAAAAAAAAATTCCCAGTGGTGAATAAATACCACCAAAATAAAGCTTTAACTGTCTCAAAAAAATGCTAAAAAATTAATATGGGTACAGTGTTGCATGACCGTGCAATTGTCATTCAAAGTGTGATAGCGCTGAAAGCAGAAAATTGGCCTGGACAGGAAGGGGGTGAAAGTGTCCGGACTGGAAGTGGTTACGGGATCATAACGCAAACCATCGTGAAACATATCTACCTTCCAGGACCCATCCGTGGCAACCTGTACAATATTTATAGTGCACCACAGGGGCGGACTGACCATTGGAGCACTCGGGCACTGCCCGAGGGCCCGGGGTCAGTAGGGGGCCCCATGAGATGCCCCTGGTACCTTTCATTGGCTTTTTCATAGGCTTTTTTGGGTGTGGGCAAGGACACAGGGGCCCCATGATCCCCTATTGCCCGGGGCAGGGGCGGACTGACCATTTGGAAACTCGGGCACTGCCCGAGGGCCCGGGGTCAGTAGGGGGCCCCATGAGATACCCCAGGTAACTTTTTCATAGGCTTTTTTGAGTTTGGGCAAGGACACAGGGGCCCCATGATCCCCTATTGCCCGGGGGCCCCATGAGTTGTCAGTCCGCCCCTGCCCGGCGGCCCCATGAGTTTGTCAGTCCGCCCCTGCCCAGGGGCCCCATGAGTTGTCAGTCCGCCCCTGCCCAGGGGCCCCATGAGTTGTCAGTCCGCCCCTGTTGCACCATCACCATGAATCACAAAAATCTGCTTACTGGATCCATTGATCCCACTAGTACAGAGAGGTCAAACAGCGTCTGTGGCCATAGCATCCAGTTGCTAACAGGGCTCTCTGGATATCTTATTCCAAACCTAAGGAAGGATGAAAATAAACCTCAGGATTGTGCAGATCAATAGCATTTATTATATGTTGTGAATAAAAACATGAAAATAATTCACCTCTTAGCTCCCGGTAAAACTCCATGCAAAACCTGTGCCAGACGCCACTTGTCCCAATTCCACCCTGCATCAACAAATACATACATTTGAACAATATTATTTGATATACTATCATTAATTTAAGAGCTCATTCACACTTGTACATTTTCCTTATGCATTTGTGCATTTTATTTATATCAAGTTTAAATCCTGTTCATTCCTAAATGACTACCTCACAGTTGGTGCTGCGTAAACCTCTGTCTAAAGCATACATGAATACATGAAGTAGCACAAGTAAGAAATGCTGATGTAGTAGTCCTTTAACACCCATGCAAATACAGTAACATGAGGCAAAAATTGATTTATTTAGATCATCAGGGCACTGATGATCAGCGTTCCCTGATGATCAGTGTAGCCCCAGCAGTGCCACCTGTCAGTGTCTATCAGTGCCGTATGTCAGTGCTCATCAGTGCCTTGTGCCAGTGCCCATCAGTGCCACATCAGTGCCACATATCAGTGCACACCAGTGCTCATCAGTGCCACATATCAGTGCCCATCTGAGCTGCCTTTCAGCGTCACCCATCAGTGCCAGTCAGTGCCATCTATCAATGCCAATCAGTGCCGCCTATCAGTGCTGCCAATCAGTGCCACCTATCTGTGCCAGTCAGTGCCACCTATCAGTGCCAGTCAGTGCTGCCTATCAGTGCACACCAGTGCCACCTAACAGTGTCACCTAACAGTGCCAGCCAGTGCCGCCTATCAGTGCCATGTATCAGTGCTGCCTTTCAGTGCCCATCAGTGATGCCTGTCAATGCCCATTAGTGCCACCTACCAGTGCCTACTCATCAGTGCCACCTATCAGTGTCCATCAGTGCAGCCTATTAGTGCCCATCAGTGCCCATCAGTGCAGCCTCATTAGCGCACATCAGTGAAGGAGAAAAATCACTTATTTATAAAATTTTATAACAAAAACTAAAAAAAAAAACATTTTTTTTTCAAAATTTTCAGTGGTTTTTGGTTTGTTTAAGAAAAGATAAAAAACCCAGAGGTGATTAAATACCACCAAAATAAAGCTCTATCTGTCACAAAAAAATGATAAAAATGTCATATGGG